TCCCCCCTCTTGAATAAGTTCTTGAATGAGGGGGGCCTTATTTACCACGGACCTGGCATTGCACAACATCAGCCGATGGTCCCGGGCCTGAGGATCTGAGGTCCCTGGAAGTCGAGTAGAGCCCTGAGGATCGGAGCATCCACAAGCTTGTAAGCAGCGTGTGCGTGCTCCCAAAACCCGATATGGTCCTCTGCTCCCGATTTGATATGGATGTAGATTGCAGTTATATGTTACATGTTTTCATTTCTGTGTTGGCTTTCTTTATAAAAAGTGAAAGCATAAATTTGTTTTGCAGATTATTTTTGTGTCAAAAAGCAAAGACCCAATGATGTCTTTCATGATGCCATTCCATTTGGTGAAGGGATGCTCCATTGAACAACCAGTCTTTTCTGCCAATTATATCAAAGGAGTAATACAAGCAGAACCAGGAGGTATGTGTCACCCATCAGAGAGGCAAATAATAATAAAATGCTCTTGGAGTAATCATATGTAAAATCAAGCTTAAAGGTTTTGGTTTAAATTTCTGTTGTAGTGAGAACTATACATCCATCAAAAATATGTATCAATGTCTCTTTGTACATATATACCAATAATGAAGGTTTTTGATAGCCATTATGTTCACTATCCTTCATACAGTACTTATGCGAAACTTCATAATTCACTTTACCTTGATTTGGAAGAAAAAGAAAAACTGGATTTTAATTTTAAAACCTATTTTTAAAGACAGTTATTTCAAATCAGATTTATATTTATTTGTAAATTTTTGCTTGCATATGGAAATAGAAAATTCAGTTTTCCTGGTATACATTCTGGTTAAATTTCACATTCCCTGATTAAATTCAGTGAAAACATTTGATTAGGGTTTGGAGGAAGCTATTCACTTCTGATTTTGTAAGAAGAATTGCATATTAATGCGTTTAGGGGAAAGTGATGAATGAGCATCTTTAGCTGGTTGTGAAAAGGAAAAAAGCCATTTAAGTATTGTTCTTACCTTGAAATTTGTTCTTTTTGAAATCTGTGAGAGAAAGATGGGTTATACTGTGAAGTTAGGGTTATTCGGCCATCTGCCCTCTCCAGAAGTTTTGGTCCTTTTTATTTGATTTGAAAGGGTTTTTAATAACGTAAGTAGGCTAATCTTGCTAAAGGTTTAATACACCTATTGAAAGTTGATAGTTTATCTCTGGATTTCAGTAACACAATGCTGAGGAACCTGGAATTGGCAAAAAGGAGGTAGTTTCCCAAAACTGGCATAGGGAATACTCTGTTATGGTAATATTTGTTAAAACTATTTCTGAATTGCTTTGTAAACTGATCATTGGTATCAAATCGTGTTCAATTTATCCCTGGTTTGTCTTGACAACCTTTGGGAAGCTGCCATAAGGAAGACTTATAACACAATCATTGTTTCTTAGGTGGCTGGGAAGGTCAGGCGTCATTTAAAATGAGCTTCTTCAGTGGAGGTGCCATAGAGTTTGGACAAATGATGTTCAAGCTTGCAAGTGATGGTAAGACTTTCTTCTCATTTCTTCCCATCCCAGATTTCTACTTTTGATGATAATATTTGATGGATGTACTTGCTGATAGTTCTTCAGTCATGCTTAAAACCTAATGTATGGTCAGTGCTAAATGCTGCTATTCCCACCTCTATTACATGTTTTTCATTCTTCCCAACCCAACAGAATGTTGGGGAAAAAATTATGTGGAGAGACTTGGACTCTGTCTACCAGCAGGATAACTCCTCTAAACAAAATGGGTCCAGATTTGATATGGTGGAAGAAGCAGGAAAAATGAAACTGGGTACAAAAATGGGTTTGGATTAGATAAGAAAAAACATAGGAAAATATTCCTCAATGGCAAGTGTTCATGGGGCGGTGACTTGGAATGCTGCCTATTCCGTTCTAAGCCCCGTCTCTCCTTCCAGGCACACGATCCAGAGGGGAGCATGTGCAGTCTTCCCTGTGCTTCCAGGCATGCTTGCAAACACATTTTGTTACCTAGAATTAAATACAGACACTTCCAATGACCACTGCGAGTAAACAGCACAAAGCTATATTCTGCATGCTTTCTGTAGTTTCCTTAATTTCACAATCAATTTTCACATAGAGTGCATTTCCTGCAAAAACATAATGAGCATGATGAGTAAACTAATTAGATAATTTGCTTAAATTCCCTCTAATTTTGGTTGATTTAAAACATAATTATTTAAACTTTAAGATTTCATGTGCTAAATTTGGCTTATTATATATACTGTGCTTAGCTTCTAGAGGAGTACCAGCTCAGAGTTTTGGCTATGGGTATGCACCGCCACCTTTTCCTGGTGCTTATGTACCTCCACCAGGAAGCTACGTTATGCCACAACCAGCTTCTGGAGCATATATGTATATGCCTTCACAAATGAATGGATATGGAGTTGCTCCGCAGCCTATGGGATATCCATATGCACCTCCTCCAGGTGAATTTTCAACCAACTTTATAAAATACTGTTATTCAATATTAAGCTATCTCTTTTTGTTTAAGATAAGTTTTGGGCGTTTTTATAATTCTTGTTCCTTTTTTCATCTACATTTAACATATAAAATGTTTTTTTTTTAAATCACACTTATAAATAAGATTAAGTATGTTGATAAAATATATTATAGCACTATAAAATTCATAACTATTCCATGTAGATGAAATGACTTAAAAATTATCCAGATCTGAACAATATGAATAGCAACATTATAGAATTGCCACTAGGGAAAGGATAATATTTAGAATGATTGAACATATTCATTGTGAATGGAATTAGCTGCAATATAGAATTAAGTGTTCGAGTATCATGTATGCTGTTCTGCACATCCATTTCCCACAAATGATTTTGCTACTGTCCTATATATTGTATTATACAACCAAGAGAATAGATGTAGGATCTGCACAAGAATACAGATTGCACAGTAGTCACCTCTCTTTGAATGTGTAAATTATTTGAAAAATACTTCCTGGTTCATTTTTAAAGAAGGTGCAATGTAAGAAAAATACAGTTCATGTGAACTTGCACCAACATAAATACATCTGTGATATGCTTGTACAAATATGGATTTTCTTTCTTTAGGTGCATATCCACCACCTCCTGGGATGAACTCCATGTACATGGCACCTCCTCCCCCATATCCTGGCCCTTCTGCTGCTGGCCCTTCAGCTCCTACTGACCCAGGATTTACAGGTCCTAGGACCTGGACAGAACCTGGGATGCCAGGTAAGAATCTAGGATTGCTTCTGCTTAGAACTGGGTTAGTTGCATTGTTCTCCCAGGTTTTATTTTCTGGGTTTTAAGTAAGTCATTTAAAGAGCAATTATTGTCATGTTGATTTGTCCAAGCCATTTTCTTTCAATCGAGTAAATATTCTTTGAAACACCCATCTCTTAAACATAAACTCTAAAGAGGAGTGAAAAAGTCCCCAGCTTCTAGTGCCCCCTCACCTCCAGTCTTATCTTTGTACTCAGAAATTGTGCAAGATTGTGCTATTGAAATTTTGTATTGACTCTGTTAGGCTTAGTATTCCTTTTTTGGTGACTCACCCCACCTCCCTCCTGCCCAAAAGCCGAAGTCAGAAAATCTGTCTCCATCCCTTCCTGTATCATTAGTGCTATTCCACATATGGACAATCGCTGCCTAAAAATTAACAAAAGGGGAGAGCCTGTAGCCTTGCTTGCAAAAATGTGACCAGATTCTGTTTTAGAGATTGTATATTCTGTCTGAGCTGCTAATTGTTGAGATATGTTAGTTGACAGATCTTGATCTCAGTCTCTGATCAGTGTGGAATATTCTCCCTCTTGCCTACCCTAAACCTATATGGTTAATATATCTAAAAATGATCACCTTGTTTTGTCCAGATTCTTCCTTATAGAGGCTACAAATCTGTACTTTAATTTTATCTAGAAAATAAGAAGGAGACACTAAGCGTTTGTGAATGTGAATAGTGTTTGGATTTGTTTTAAAAGTTCTCCCTGTCTTTTTTCTTTTATTAATGATGTAGGTGGCAATAAAGCAGCAGAGGCAACTTCCAGTGCATATTATAACCCAGCTAATCCTCATAATGTTTACATGCCTATGGTAAGGAATTTCTCTAGAATTGTATGTGGCAGAAGATGGGGCCAAGGGAGTAGTGATTTTCCACATTTTTTTTAGGTACCATTTTATCTGAGAAAATCGGGAGAGGAATTTCTGAGAAATGTAATGAGTTCTGTCATACACTAACTCTCTGTTGTGCTAACCTGGTTATGTTTCAGCTACCTGATTCTCAGTTCTGAGTTCTGTCATAGACTAACTTTCTGTCGTGTTAACTCAGTTGGGTCTGAACTACCTGATTCTCAGTTTTAATATTTGGTACAATCACTGAGTGGGAATAGACATCCTGTAGCACAGGGTCCCCAACCTATGAGCCGCAGCCTACTACCGGGCCATAGCCTTTTGGCCAGCGGGCCGCAGAAATGACTGGCCGGTATGCACATGTGTGTGCACACACTCCCCCCATTCACGCTAGCACCCGCAGTCCCATTTGCAGATGCGTGTGGGCGCGAATGGGGCTGCTAACGCCGGGCAGGTTGCACGGCCCATTTGTGCATGCGCAAATGGGGCCGCTAATGCCGCTCCGGTGCATGTGGTCCTGTTTGTGTTCACATGCGCACACACCAATTTGGAAGCTGCTCTCCTTTCCTCCGGGCCGTGAGCCTGGAAAGGTTGGAGACCTCTGCTGTAGCACAATGAGGAGCAGGTTTAGCTTTGTAGTTCTAAATTTTTTTGCTGTTCTGACATTTAGTTAAATAAAATCTGCAGCTAGTTACACTGAATATAATGTTTACATTATACCAAGAGCATCTGGCATTTTTGCTTTCTATTATACGAGTATACTAACACTGGGAAACTTTGAATTCTAAAGGAAATTACACACAAACACAGAGTCTATTTATTTACTTGAGGCTGTTCCTCTCCTTTTTTAAAAAAAAAAATGAAACACCTATATACATGTTTAACTGTCTGTTTCTATACCATCTCATCCCATCCCTGTGATAATAACATTGATAGGTTGATTATGTACCAGTAAGACACTTAAGCACATAGATAGATTTTTGCCATGATGAACTGTTCCTAAACCGGCCTTGCGAGTCTTCCAGTGGCACACCCCTTTGTAACTGTCCATTTACCGTACCTTGCTGCTGACCACCTCTTTTTCTTTCCACCTCTCCAAGCATTAGAGCCTTTTGCAGAGAGCTGGGTCTTTGCATAACATTGGCTTACCACATATTACTGAGTAACTTTCCTTACAAAGGTATGAAGAACATGACATCTTCTGACTTGAGGTCTTTCATTATAGTTGAACTCTTCTTAGAAGACAGGTCGCATATGAGACTGCGTTGAAATGTCTTACACGCTGTGATTTAATATGAAATAATTTTAAGAATGCTGAGAAGAAAAACTCAAATGTTAAGTAGTAAAGTGCCAATTTGATTAAATGTGCCTAATTTTCATTTTAGGATCAACCACCTCCTTATGCACCACCTGAGGAAAAGAAGAATAACTAACAGGAGTCTCAGCACCACCTTCTTCCTTGCGTTTCTTGACTTTGGAGATTTTACCATTGCTGCTGCCTCTTGTTTTTTTTTTTAATCTCTAGACCAGGGGTTCTCAACCTTGGCAACTTTAAGACTTGTGGACTTCAACTCCCAGAATTCCTCAGCCAGCTTTGCTGGGAGTTGAAGTCCACAAGTCTTAAAGTAGCCAAGGTTGAGAACCCCTGCTCTAGACCATCCTGTGTCAGTAGCATGCATAGTATTGGATGGTGTTACACTTGCTGTTAAACTTTCAGAATGGCAATACAAGAGAGGTGACAGTACTACTTTATTTGCTTTCTGTCCTGATGGTAGACTAGGATTGCCACGACTGTTTTAGCCCTTTAATTGGTGGGAAAGATAAGCTATAAAATACATATAAAACAACTTCAGTTATGCAGGGATGAAATATTCAGTGTATAAACAAAACACTTTTAATGTGACACAGATATTCATGAAGGAGCATTTTGTTTTTCTGCATCTCTGTATGTTTAATACCATCATTATCTGCATGGTATTTTCACCCCTTGCAGATTAATGAATACCAAGGAATTTTCAGAGACTTCTATCTTTCCTGCAAAGTAGAAGGGAAGAAAGCTTTCTACTGATTCCTAGAAATTGATATCTAAAGAGGAAGTGATGACAGGGAGGAGATCCAAAAGATTAATCAATTCATTCCTTCTCAATAATTGTTGCTGCCTTCTGGTTTTCCACACTCAATGTGCTGTAAAGATTTCGCTTTCTGCAGTATTGGTTCTTTATCCTTGCAGAAGGATGCCAGGTAGATAACAGTTTTACTGTATCTACATCTGAAGGAATGCACAGCAGGTTTTCTGCTTTCAATTTGGCTGCAGGGTCTATGTCTCTAAAACATCTTTATGTGTCTCTGTGTCCCTAAAATGTCTTCTGGCTGTTGTAAGAGTAGGGCAATGAGTCTTACTCAAATTAGTGCAAATTATCTGTCTGCCATAACTATACAGCAGAAAGGAAACTAGCATTGAAACCATTTATGTGAACTGGAACCAAAGATTGGTTTATAATTGGCTAGTTTTGAGAGGACTAAAATAAAATGTAATTAAGCAAACAGCATAATATCTGATCCAGAAAAAACAGATATTGGTTATTCTAAGATCTGGAAATCAGTTCTTTTCTAACTAGTAGCAGCTAACAGAACATCAGATATTATATCTAAGGAAAAACCTTTTTTTCTGCTACAGATAATGGGAATTAACACTGCTGTATGTTGGTAAAACTTGACATAGATATCAAAGCAGTTTCTGTTTGTTAGGCCTCTATCTAGATTTAGCTGAGCTACACCATCAAGCCAGAGATAATGAGGTGGAAAAAATATTAAAACTGCAAACATGAGTAAGAAATTATATTTGATAAAGAGTTCTGCAATTGTATTGGAAGAAAAAAAACTAAAAATAGTTTTTTTTGTCTATGAACTAGAAAGAAGCAACCAATATTCTGGGTTGTGTTAAGCTGTTATTTAATAATGACTTCTCTCGTATTTGTTTTCTTTAAAAAACTATTGTTCCACTAAAGTAGTGGAAAATATAATTTGCATATAGGAAATCTCTTCTTTTCTTCCTTGATGTTAGGGCTGTACTTCACAGTGAAAAACTCAAAGACGTACTGCTGTGTTACGGATACTTGTTTATTTTCCCTTTAGTACATGAATTTATTATTCAGTAAAAAGTATGAAATAAAACTTTTTTCTAACAAATACTTTCATTCTGAACACAAAAACGTAACTGTTTTCCATAACTAGTTAACTCTGTTTATAATATTTTTGAATTGCACTTTAATACAGAAATATTGAAACCTTTATATTTGTGTCTGTATTGGTATGTTGATAACTTATCATTTTGTGCAAAGATTAGTTGGTGTGGGCTGGGAGGAGATATAGTTCCTATCTTTAAAGAATGGTATGGAAAATTCTCCTTAACAAGATCTATTTGAATTTTGTGCCTGGTAAGGTCTTCCTCAAGCTTGACCTCTGGATGGTTTTATGACTAATTTATTTGGAAACAATTCAAAAGTAGTTTGTTCTTGCCTGCTTCAAACTTCGTTTACATACATACATTCAAATCACATTCTGTATTACATGTCAGTGACCCAGACTAAATAAAACTTCTTAAATGAAACTTACAAAGTAGAGTTACAATATAGAGCACAAAAAAATAAAGCACACAAGATAAAAAAAATGTACAATTATGTTTGCACTATTTTGCTGTCAGCAATATGTGAGTTTTACAAGCTGCAAAAATAAACTTGTCAAGTCCCATTAATGTTTAGAGATCAAACTAAATAGATGCGGTGACTTAGACATTAGCAAGACCTAGTTTCTTGCCAAGACTAATGTGCAATATTAAACTGCCATCTCAGATATCTGTTGATGGTACTTTCCATGCAAGGTCTTGTCTTGCCATGGCACTCCTGCTTGATCTTTCCATGTCTACTGCTGCCTCAGGCATTCTCTCAGTAGTTCATCTTTGAGTGCCATCTTACTGGTGTATTTGTGGATGCTCTGAGTTTCATCCAGGTCAGTGGCTTTAACACTCACTAGACCCTGCCCACCCTCTTTCTGGCTAGTGTACAGTTTCTGCATGTTGGGCTTGGGGTGGAAACCTGTACGATTGTGAGGAGCTTTCAGGTGTTTACCAGCAGCTTCCATGTCCTTTGGCCAGCTCACTACACTGGAAGGGTATCTGATGACTAGCAGGGCATACATTTTGATGGCATGGATCTTGTTCTATTGATCTGGCTGTTCAGAACCTGTCTTTGGTGGTACTTCCTTGCCTTATCATGGTTCTCGTGAATGGGATACCAAGGTGCCTGAACTGGCCTATATGTCTGTTATGTGGCCTGCTGGGAGTTCCACCGCCATCAGCTAAAACTACTTTCCCTCTCCTGATTACCATGCAGTCACACTTCTCATCTGAACAATATCCAAGGGCCTCATTGTACATCTGTGTCAGGAGAATTAGTGAGTCAATGTCTCATGCACCCTTAGCATACAACTTGATGTCATCCATGTAGAAGAGATGACTGTTGATAGTTCGATTCTTGAACTTGTATCCATATGCGTCCTTGTAATTAGCTGGCTGAGGAAGTTCAAGCCTATGCAGAATAACAGATTATGCATCACCTTGGCATATGCCACAATTTTGTGGGGGGTGGTGGTGGTATGGGTATGTGTCTTCCTCAATCTCACTTCCAAACCTGGGAGTTTGAGAGTTCTTAGCTGCTCCTAACAATACACTCATTTGGATAGAAAGCCCTATTGTTCCCGGGTTTTGTTGGAGCCACTTTCCCAACTTATGAGTTAAGCCTTGAGTGCTCATACCATGACTGAACCATTTGGCCTTTACTTTCCATATCCTTTGTAATTCCTCTTTCAAGCCCTGGTACTTATCCAGCTTTTCTTACTCCTTCCTACTGCTATCACTTGGCACTGCTACATCTATTACCACTGCTATCTTCTGATGTCTACTACCATAATGGCTGCTTGATTGGTTAATACCTGTCCATCTTGATCTGGTAAGGCCTACAGCAGGAATCCCCAACCAGAGTTGTAAACCAGTACCAGTCCATGGCTGATAGGAAGAGGGCCACATAAGTGGCAGGTGAGCGAGCAAAGCTTGATCTGCCCATGCGCGGGATCTAGGTTGCACGCAAAGCTCCACCCTGGTCCATAGAAGAATTGTCTTTCACAAAACCAGTCTTTGGTGTCAGGAAGGCTGGGCACTGCTATCCTATAGGATCTTAGCTCTCTTATTCTCCATGATCTTCTGTAGGATCTCCCATTGAGACTTGGGTCTAATCTATATACCATGCACGTGTTCCTGTACAGAATGATATTTGGTTGTGTCATTCAGTATATGCTGTTGTTGCCAGCTTCTTACACCCTGTTATTATGTATTAGACTCTGTCTCAGACCTCTCTGCATAGTCTGCACCTTGGATCACGTCTAGACCACTACTTCTATAGATCTAGTCCTTATTGCCTGTACTTATGCTGCTATGATCAGTGCCTTAGTGTTGCCTTTTAATCCAGATAGATATATAGATACAGATGATAGATAGATAGATAGATAGATAGATAGATAGATAGATGATAGATAGATAGATAGATAGATAGATAGATAGATAGATAGATAGATAGATAGATAGATAGATAGATAGATAGATAGATTAGATAGATTAGATAGGATAGATAGGCAGACAGAAAAACAGACTGTCACAGTACTAAAAGTAACTTATTGAATAATGGGGAGGATAAAACTGAGGAAACTTATTTTGGTAATCTCCAGATGTGATAGACTATATGTTGGCTGGCAATTCTGGGAATTCTGGGATTCAGTTACATCAAAGGTATGTGACTAGGAAAAATGTACTAGGAAAAATAAATTACAGAATTAGCAAACACTTTGAAAATTTATTCATTTTATATGGCTTTTTAATCAAATAATTTCTGAAACAATAATCTTTATTCAAAAACTTATTTAAAAATATAAACATCTGAACATATGATAAAAAAAATAGTCCCTAAAGAGTTGTTTACAACAAAAGAATAAAAAAATTAAAAATCCTGGAAAATTAAGCCAGTCAGATAAGCGACAATAAAAGAAATGCTAGAACCCTTAACAAAAAGAACTTTTGCAATTATTTCAACTACTGAAATAGCTGATATCATTAAAAACACCTATAGTGCAATAGAAATTCTGTGCATTAAAGGACAATTCCAGTTCAGTTTTGGAATCCGGGAAATTTACAATTCAGTGATCTATAGGAAATTCCTTGTACAAAATATAAATTTTTCCCATGGTTATGCTTATATATAGGCAACCAGCTTCTAATTGATTATCTCAAAGCATGTGACCATCATTAGCAGTCTAATCTATATAAATAAGAATACATGTCTACTTATTTATGTCTACTGTACTTAGAACTATTGGACTGCATACTAGTGAACTACTGTAATAGCATCTCCATTGTGTGTACAGGTAGATCTCAATTTGTATGTTACTTGTGTAAAACTGCCAACCTACACAATCTTTTTTTTTCTCTGTTGAAGTACCACAAGTGTACCAATAGGGAGTGGTGAATCCTTAGCAGCTTTCCAAAATGTTATTCAACTGCTGGCTATCACAGATTAAAGGGACTGAATTTATTTGCTTTCACCTGCTGCTTTATGAAGTTGGAAGGCTGCCCCAGGTACATTGCTGGGTACAGATACCACATAACTACTCCAGAGGGATTAATCACCACTGTGAAGTTGGTAGCAATCTTCAGGTCACTGATTATTTCACTGGTGTACACATCCTGTGCCTAACAAAAAAAAGAGATAAATGGATAAATGATCATATGTGCATCTACTATGGAACTACTCATATATTCTAATAGCTATTCCATAGCAATGTTTATCCCAATGAAAAATACTAAAGCTTAATTGCTGTACAACTTGAATTCTAAAATAGTAAATAATCCTGTTACTTATTTGTCACAAATGAATGGTAGTGTTGGCAGAGGGGATAGAGTTTTGGGTTTATGACTTATTTTGCTTTGGACTGTTTTATCACCCCAGGAAATAACCTGATTATTAAATAATTTTCTAAAAGCCAGGATATGGCCATATTAAATTCAATAACATGGGGCAAATATAAGTAAGCATTACTGTGTAGTACATGAGATTTTCAGCTTGTCATCCCGTTCCCCTAAAATGTTTTCAGCAATGGAAAGGAAGACCACATATGGGTGTTTCTTTACTTACTTCATAGACAGCATTCTCTGTAAAATTGAGCTGTGCAAGGGAAGTTGTGTAGTGATATGGCATGTCTGTCCTCTGACTAAAGAAAACCAGAGCACTGGCTGAGTGGGAAAGAGGCCGCAGAAATACTTCAATTCGAGATTTCTCCTACAAAATCAGATTAAACAACATGTTCTTCTAAAGGAAATCTTTCCCAGGACATAAATTGAAAATGGTGATGTCATCATATAGGAAAAGAACAATTCTTCAACTGAAATTGTTATGAGGTATGAAACTCATACTAGTTTAACCCAACTCTTGGTGCTGTAATTTGAGCCAAAAAATACATGGGGAACACCATATACACATGCTTCTCTACCCTTCTTCCTTCCAGATAAATTATGAAAACAACAGTGTCAATGGATCTGGAGTATGCCAGATTGCTGAAAACTAATATATTGTCTCCTAAGCTCCTTAGAAGAGAGGATCGTTATGAATGTAATAAATATCCTTAATTAATGATCTTCCCACATAACAGGGTCAAAAGGCAGGAATATACCCTCTGGAGTTCCAGGGATTCAAATAAGATTCTCCAGATGCTTGGCTTTCATTACCTGAAGGATTCTACGACCTTGAATTCCCAGGGGATCTTGGTTAATTGTGATCATCAATTTGTTTTGTAGAATCTCCTTGGCACTTTCAGAAATAACACGGAGGTCTGTGGACATGAAAAGAGGAGCAGCCATAATTGTCCATAAGGCCATCTGGGACTTGGATTCTTCAAGGCTCAGCCCAAAGTTTCCAATGATTAGCTGTAGGATAAAGAAGAGGTTAACCCAGAGGTGAGTAATAAAGTCAAGAATGAAAGCAAAAGAAAACAAGAGTTGCATATGAACTGATTCCAAGAGAATTCTTGTTGAATAAAGGTAGCTTTTATTTATTATTATTAATTTTTATTAATTTATTTACCCATATGCTAAATAAATAACTAGGTAGGTTTACTCAATGCCTATGATTGGAATAACCTTCCCCAATTTTCTTCTAGAAGAAAGTTTAGGAAATAATATCAACGCTGAATTCCAATATCCCACTGGGCAAACATAGACATAACTATTAAGTCCTGCATCCTAGGAATGTCAGTTTTCTAATATAAAAATTAGGTGCAAAAATTATTAAATTAATGAAGAATTTAGAAGGGGTAGAAGAGGATAATGAGTTAAACTTTAAAAACTAAAAAAAACCATACGTAAGCAAAACAAGCTATATTTTCAAAGAACTGCAGGATAATTGGATCGGTATAATATATAACTGCTTATCCTTTCAATGTAACATGTTTTTGCAAAAAATAGCAATATATGCCTATTTGTACAAATTATTTTAATGGAATTCAGGTTTTCTGTGATATTTCTAGTGTAGGTTATACTCACTGAGATTAAAATAATGGGTATGTGCAGCAAATGTAAGAATGTAACACAAATGGCTTGTCTACTTAAATTACATACAAGAGTTGAAAACAAGATGATGGAACATATACATTCCTGTCAACAGTCACCTTCATTAGCTTTTTTCTAGCTTTAGAATTCCAAAGAGAGCCTCTCTCATTCATTTAGCTTTCCTATGATCCTCTTCTGCTCAACATTACCATGTCAGGGTCATTCCAATGGCCAGGGCCAGCTGCTGGCTGAAGTACATCCTGATTCATTGAGAACCATTCCACAATAGAGAGGACACTTCTCCAAGAGTCTTGTATGTCATCAAAGTTTCTCCAGAGGTTACATATATTTGCTAAAAGAGTATAATTCACCTAAAAGAAAACAAATGCATGAAACAGAATAATTACAGTAAGCTTGGCATGATTTATCTTTTGAAAATGATCATCAATTTACATCATTTTGGCTTGTCTGGGTGTACTTAATATATGGCAAAAATATATATTGGAAAGAAGAAATACTAAGTTAAACAATTAACTGTAATTATTTTGCTATCCAACTAAAGCCACACAGTTGTGTCACCATAGCAAAGAGAAATGGATAGAACTGCTCAAAGGATGTGTTAACAGAATAACTGTATCACTCATAATTATAACACTTGTCATTAACAAAATATGTAACATCCAACAACACTATACTCTTATGTAGTACTACATGTAGTAAGCTTGTTAATAAAAAAAATACTGTTTCAGCCAACTAAAACATTGTGTCAAGAGTTCTAGGTGGATTGATTCTAAAACTCAATACAAGATTAAAGAAGCGTGTCTCCTGCAAATTAAATGAGTACATTTATGGATCACATGTCACACTAAATTGTTAAAATGTGATGCAAAACCTTCATTTAAAATTCTGAAGTTCAATGGACAGAAGCTTTAAGATCAGCCCCATCCTTCCTCAAATACAACTCACTGAAGGTGGGAGTCCCCCTCGATAGGCTGGCCAACTGCAGGAATAAGCAATGGGATGACCTGTTGCATTCAGAGCCTTGGACATTCTAGGATAACCTTTGGAAAACAAGAATAATTATCCATTTGAGTTAAATTCGGAATTTATTTAAACCAAATTATTTTAGCTGGTTGATGCTTATTATAATTAATTTCCCAAATCTATATTTGACATCTTAAACAAAGCCAATTAAAATATATTATTTTAGCAGCTTTTGATGCACTGACAAAAGAAGCAACACAGAGGCATGATAAAGCCTTGAACTTTACCTTGGGCCTGTTCATCTGCTGATGAGTAGCAACCATCTAGTTTCAGCATATCCACTCCCCATTGTGCAAACGTTAAAGCATCTTGTTCAATACAATTTAATGTAGTACCCGGGAAACCTGCACAAGTATGGGTGCCTAGATCACCATAAATGCCAAGTTTCAGACCCCGTGAATGAACCTGCCAAAATATGTCATGACTTGTGAGATCAAGAAAGAAGACCTATGAAGAATCTACATGATGGAGGAAACAGTACAAACATTGTTATTGTTGGTGTTAGTGAGCATCTATTTTTAATCACTTCCTCAAAAGCTAATCCACCATCTTCTCCTCTTCTTCTTTATTTGCAGAATATCTCAACAATGTTGACTTAAATTGAAATTGCTTATTGTAAGAGTAGATATCTAATGAGTAGAGTGTTAAAACTAAGAATAACTAGTTACCCAAACAAACTCCCCGAGGATGAACACTTACTTTGTAGTATGTAAAATTATGTTTCCACCAATGGAAAGATACAAAAGCAAACTAGATAAAACACCGAAACATCAATATTTAGTATGTGGTAGCATTTTCCCCATTTTATGTGAATACAAACATTTCTGCTGACTGAATGGCTGGTTCAAATTATGCTTCTGCCCACCATTGCATAAGATGATGTCAGATGGGGAAAAAAAGTTAAAAGGTATGTTTCATTGTTGATTTTTTTACCAAATGGCCAACCCTTCCTTTTCCAATCTAATGTTTTTCAGATATGTTGGCTTTAAATCCTATCATCCTTATTCAGCACAGCCATTCACTATGCTGGAAATGTGTTAGGAGTACTGAAGGTCAGAATATCTGGTGGGTACCAAGCTGGATGACACAATAGAAAACTGATAAGCTTTTTAAAAATATCCAGTGCCAAGGATTACATCTGAAACTATAGAGTTTGAATTCGCAGAATAATCTGGTGATTTAGATGCAGAATTTCTTGCCCAGCAACATGTTTCTCACTGAATAACTCTGAGCAAAGGTGCTTCACTCAGCCCAACTGTTGTACAAGTCCAGGTCCATGGCTGCAAATTGGCCAGTCCTACCTGAAAAAGGAACCTACATTTTTTACAGCAATTAAGAAGCAAGCCTTTGACCTTTTGGGGCAGCCACAAAGTTCCTCTGGAACTTCTTTATTATTGGCTAAGCAATTAATCTTTTTTTTTAATCACAGCTAGATCATTTGATTTCATTCTCACATCAGAAATATTCACTTACATAGTCTGCCAAGGCTTTGATCCCTCTGGGAAACCTCTCTGGATCCGGAATCAGATGTCCCGTCATATTCCGCTTCTTTGCCATCCAGCAATCATCAATATTCACATACTCGTAGCCCAGCTCCCTCCAACCATCCATTGCCAGACAGTCCGCCATTTCCATAAAGAGAGTCTCACTGTCCCACAAATGGAAAAGCAGTCATAGGAAACAAGAACGACAAGCAAAGTGACCAATGTGGAATAGCCAGTGGGAACTATCAGGCATAATAAATACTGCTCTGACAATGTCAGGCTTCACACTGCACTGACATAATCTGCCACAGTCATGCAAGTTTACTTTCCACAATAGATAAAAAGGTTCATTTCTCTGTCAGGTCCCCACTATCACTCTTTCATACTTATTATTTTTCTGCAATAATCTGGAAGTAAAATTAAAATAAAGCTTCCTACAATATTATGTTTTCCTCAGTGCCCTTCCTTATGGACAGGATCCTTCTGTTTCTTAAAAATATGCCTCATTCAACCAACGTCACTATGAGAATAAACAAAAGCTTGTAGGCTGGGCTCTTTTACTGGTTCCTGTTCAAACAACATGTTTGTATATTGCGGTACAAGGTCTATTAATTAATGATTTCCTCATATGTTTTCATTTTCATTAATATTTTTATATAGCAAAATGATTCAGTACTCTTTTCTCAACTATGCTCAGTCAGAAAATTAAACTACAACTTGGCAACAATATTCAGAGAAGCATGAGGGCTTTTAGGGAAGGCAGATGCCACCCTGGAGCTTCAGATTTTCTAGGTTTGATGCCATCCCTCATCTTGAATCCCAGGATTCTGAAACTCAGGAACATACCTGGAAAAAGATTGGATTTTGTACTATTTCCAAGGTTCTTCCACTTACCTGATACAATTATGGGGATCTTTCTTGCAATCAACATTACAACGAAAGCGCTCCCAAGCAAGCCACCCCATGGGGGGCGTTCTCATAAGTCCATTCTCCAAAGCCAGGGAGAAGGCATGGAGTAGAAGAAGGAAGACAACACATTTCATGACAAGGGATTGGGGGATGACCACTGCAAAAGAGGTGGGCAGAGGGGGGAGGAGACATAATGAAATATCACTTTCAATTGTTTCCATTCAATTGTTTCCATTCAATGGCTTTTCCACCCATATCTAATGAGGTTAAATATTTACAAGCTTTCACCTCTGCCTGCACCAGTTTTTCTTGCTTTAACAATGTGCAGTGAAACCTGGAAGTCTTCAATTAGACAGTTACCTTTTTTGCCTGAACCTGGAAACTATGGTTATCACCCTCAGAACAACCAAGCATCTTAAACAAGCAAAACACGCATATCACCAAGATAAAATTGTATGAGTGGTCATTAAGCTCTTGCTCTTTTTTCTTTTGAGTGAGTTTTGATTTTGGTAACTACCTGGACTAGTGCCTGCAATTTTTGTAGCAAGATTTTTGGAAATGTTTTGCCATTGCCTTTTTTTTTTAAGGCTAAGAGACAACGACTGACCCACGGTCATCCAGCTGGCTTTGTGAAACCAGCTTCCTGGTTTCTAGCCTGGTGCCTTAACCACAATACCAAACTGACTCTTCTCTTGCAGATTATTTGTAGATAATCACCGATTTTAAGAGCACTGTTGATATATCTAAAATTTATTTATTTGTTAAACAAATTTATATAGTTACTTACCCAAAGGGACTCTGGGCAGCAAACAAAATACTTAAGGCACCAGGCTAGAAACCAGGAGACTCTGAGTTCTAATCCTACCTTAGGCACGAAGCCAACTGGATGACCTTGGGTCAGCCGTTGTCTCTCAGCCTTAGAAAAAAGGCAATGGCAAAATGTTTCCAAAAATCTTGCCACAAAAATTGCAGGCACTAGTCCAGGCCGCTACCAAAATCAAAACTCACTCAAAGGAAAGAAAAAAGAGCAAGAACTTAATGACAATTCATAAAATTTTATCTTGGTGATATACATGTTTTGCTTATTTAAGATGCTTGGTTGTTCTGAAGATGATAATACAATAAAACAACCATTTAAAACAATAAATTACAGCCCTGGTAGAAGCTCACATCCATCTACCAACCACCCCATGCCAGCTCTGTCTACAATTTACTTTCTGAAATGGTGCTTCAACCTGTACCATTCCATTTCATACCATAGCTGCCGTCAGCACAATGCTCTATTGGAGATTTTACCTATAATCCACATGTTCTTTATCACTCTTATTTGTAATTGTCCCACCCAGTTTGCAGGAGGAATTAGGCAAACTTATATGACAACAACTGAAAAAGAAACTGACTCTGGATTCTACTTACCCTTCCCTGTTTTACACCACACACACAAGTTCCCAGTGTTGCATTCTGGGACTCATGCTGCTGTTAGAGCAGGATCCTGAAGCATACACAGTGACGGAAGCAAAATTACAGACACAGCATTCCTAACCAGTATCTATTTTACTACACTTTCATAAAGAATATGTTGATTCCACAGGTCCACTAAATGAAGTGTGGTGTAGAGTTCACGAAATGACACAGCCCCGCACTTTGAAGGGCATCAAGTAAGGAAAGTTGGCTTGTGGCAAGGTAATAGCATATAGCAATTCTCAGGTTCACTATCTGACATGTGCTATGAACGAATCTCAGACAGCACACCAGAGGAAATCTTTTGCAAGGTCTCTGGAGAGCTACTTTCAATCATAGTTTTCTCTAAGATAAATCTTATGTACTTAGCGTAAGTAGCTTCATATGAATAATTTAATTTTCTGAGATGTGCAGATACAGAATCAGCCATAGGATCAATGCCTGGTTCCGTTTCCAACTTGGCAAAAAGTTTCATTACGCACCATGTACTTGTTTGGGATGAAACAGAATTGCAGCATCTGGCTCAGCGGGACCTATTTGTATCTGAATGGGAAACCATTAAGGTGAGCTGATCTAAGTTAAAAAAATCATGAAGAAAGGCAATAGAAAACTTCTTGCAAACTGTTGCCAAATATATCGTTGTGTCCATTAAAATACCAGGTATCCATCCGCCTCCCCCCTCCCCGTGGCTGCTGCAAGCCAGTTTCCGCATTTACAAAGAAGCCTTCTTTAGACTGCATCAAGACAATGGTGAAATAATTGTGCAAATTCGGTATTTTTCATTTAATGAAAACGTATTTCACTGAGGGCACAAACGGCCTAAATTAATTCAAATCTACAACTGTAATCGTAATCAGTAGGTACTCTGGAACAATCATTCGTTTTTCTGTTCATTTTCATATACTGCGATCTTTGATCAGATAAAAGAAAAAAAAGACTATTCCCCATCCCGACCGTTCACGTATATCACCCATCCAAACTTCAAGACACATCAGGACACTTACACTATCAGAGATTAAGCTGCAACCAGTACTACACCAGCGACAATCGAAAGCCTGCAAGTCGATCCCTGCACAGGGCTGCTAATCACGTGCTCGCTTCCTTCCACCGATCAGCTGATCCCTTGGATTGCTCAATAGTAGAGCCGAGAAGGTGCTGATCTCAGCGTCCTGTCAACTCCACCACCGCCCTCGCTTTTGCCCCGAGGAAAAGAGGAAGCAGACGCTCCCTGTGACACGTGTATGCGAGCGTCGTTTGAGCTCAGCCCTTTTCACTCGGTGCTGGACGTAGTTGAAGTTCATGCACAGTTTCTCCAAGAGACGTTCTGAATCGTCCAAGGATCAGAGTACTGCCGTCTCTTTTATGTCCCTTAGCAGAGATGCCTCTCTTGTTTATTATTCTAATTGGAATATGTATGGCAGATTTATGGACTGAAGTGGTCCAAGGCTTAGAAAGCAAACCAGTAAAACTGGTTTCAGGCTGCTTTTATGCCTATGCCTGGGGAATAACAGCATGGAACCGGAGACAGGTTAGCTACAGAACCCATGGAAGCCACTCTTCAGGTCTCTTTTGTCCCTTTACTGCACTGTTTTAAACTCACCCATCCTCTCTTCCTTTCTCTTTCTAGTAATATCAGCAATGACAGGTGAGAATATAGAATGAAAAGATGAACTATGTCTGTATAATTAGGTTGGCCTTACTACTTACTACTAGGCACCATGAGATTTCTGTTTTGGGCAAGTACAATCTTCCTACCGCCACTAATTGTCTCTTCGATCTCCAATTGTTCCCACCAATCCCAATTGATATTCCAGCTCCAGAAATGCTGGCTCCCCCCCCCCCCAGCATGGCAAAGTCAACAGTGGCAAAGGCTTCAGCTTAAATAAAGTGGTTGACAGTTTAAATGGGCCTTGCTTGTGTTTGCATGATTGGTGCTCTGTGATAGTAATATACAGTAGTTCAACTGCAGAATGTATTTGAGTGAGCAGAAGCAGGTGGTAGGCAGGCCTTGGGAGAATCAAAAAATGTCTTAAGGCAGGACAGAACACATCCAGTAGTTTATGTTGTACCCACAAACTAATCTGCCATCAGATGTTGCAATGGAAATGTTCTTGCAAATCCTATTTTAAGGCATTGGAACTTCTCTGTGGAATATGGGGGGGGGGCAGGGGGCTAGGAGAAGACTTTCTTGGGCCACAAGTTGCCTTCTCTTTTTCTAATGAATTCGTTTCACAGATTGGAAGGGGAGGCTGAGAAGAAACAAAAAGGACAGTGCCTAATTTTAGTCCACTTTTTTTTAATCTCTCTTTTCAAATCCCACTGCAGCAACTGTACTTCTCCCTTCTGAACAGGTACGCAATACCTTTTGTTCATTAACTATCATTCTCGGGCCCAGAAAGTCGACTTCATTCATGTTTCTAATGTGCTCTCCAGGGCCATTTCACACTCACAGAGTTCTTCAAATATACTGTACGACCGACTCACGATGCCCAGCTAAAGCAATCCGCCTCCTAGCAATTGCTTGCGGATCCTGTTTTCTGATTTCAGTCCGGTTCAGATGTACTCGTGGCCTCGCGATGCCCCCTCGTGGCCGAAAATAAAACTAACATATTTAAAAGAACGCTGGGGTTCTGCACGCGTAATACGGTAGGACATGAATAGTCACTAAGTGGGGAGTTACCCCTCGCCTCATCCAGGCGATACGTTGTGATAGACAAGGAGTTACATTAGGGGGAGGTTGGACGAGGACTGGGGAACACTAAATTCAAATGCCAGTCAGTGACCAATCTCGCAGGTGACTTGACATCGCCTCCCAACCGATCTCCTCCGTATTGTCGGAAAAACAAAATGGGAGAGGGAGGAACTATACCCATGACCATGTGTTTCTAGAGGAAAAGAGGTAGTGCATTTAGTAAAATAAATATCAAAATATCACTTATGTCTCAAATGCAGGTTCCCCAAATAAAAGCAACGTTCTTCGGGTAGGGAAGAGAAAACTTCGGCTGACTTGGAGATGACCCACCCAATTTTTAGGTTAAATGAAAAGAGAGACCACCGCGCAGGACAGACAAACGATGGAGAAGCCTCTGCTCGTTGACGTACGGCCTGCTTCTTTCCTACTTGGCTTTCAGGACCCCAAGAGAAGGGGGGGGGCTGAAAAGAGGAAAACCTCCCCTCGGGAAGCTATTGGAAAATCTGGATTGCGGGAAAAAAAAAACTCCCCCCGGATAGTGGCAGGATTTCCTTCTGCTCTAACGATCCTGCGCTCCGGGTTTTGCCCGAGGACCAGGACGCCGTAACAGGGGAGTCCAGCAGAGGAAGGAGGACACGCGACTGCTTAAGAAAAGCAGGGAGTAGATAAAAGGCGAAGCTAACGTCCTTCTGGGTAATGGTGTGAGCAAGGTACGATTGTGGATAAGCGTCGCTTCAGCTTCTTAGGATAGGCCTGTCCCTGAACTAGCCTGCCTTTTCTCTGTGACATTAAAAGGTTGCGAAGAGGGTTTTCTTTCTGAGAGAAAAGGAAAAAAGGACATTCCGAGGGTAACTTTTAGTCTCTGCATGCTCCGGGTCCGCCTGAGATGAGGAAGTGCACTTCATGACTTTGCTGAAGAAACCATCTATTTGGTCTTCTTCCCCAGGCACTTGGGGAAAAGCAGGCTCCAAGGATCTGGACAGTTAGCCCAAGTTGGAGAGGGTTGCTCTAGAGCCAGGGGTTGGGTTCGTCCTCCTGTCTTTACCTGGAGATGCCAGGAATTAAACTTGCAGCCTTTTGCTTTACAATACAGTGGCACTTCTACTTGGACCTTGTGCCATATATAAGTGTATAACTGCAACAACTTCCTCTGTATCTTCAGGATGGTGCCTTCATCTGTTCATATCTCAGGCTGCCTTAGGGGATCCTTACCATGAGTGTTTCCACTTTTTCCTGACACAGCTAGGTAGAATCCCACGTTTCACCATTGTTCCTTTGTGGTGTAGTCAGGAGCGAGATCAGCCTGGCACTTACTGGCCACTTTAGACTGGTACGGGCATCCCTCTCCTGGCTACTCCTTGGGCATTGCGTTCCATGGCCATTCTGATTTGGGCAATAGGTGAGTCCAGTTTTTTCAAACTGGGTTCTATTAAATATTAGATATAAAATGGTGATCAAGCCCAACATTGTTATAAAAAGCAATCAAAAGGGAGTGCTGCTGAATCCAAATATGTAGGGGAAAAGGCAGGTCTTAGACTTAGCCTAAGAAGAGCAGAGTTGAAGCCTGCCATATATTGAGAGGGAGAGCATAGGAGGAACCACCAAAAAGGCATATTTCCCTGCTTTCTACAAGATGGTAAAGTTTAAAAGAGAAGTATGAGGAGTAAGTTGTACTTGGAATATGTCTTCCCAATGGGAGCAAAGAGTCAGGCAGATGTTTGGTCTTATGCTATGTAGGATTTTAAAAGTGATAACCCAGTGGTCCCCAATCTTTTTGGCACCAGGGTCTGATTTCATGGAAGACATTTTTTCCACAGACCTGGAAAACAGGTCACTTGCCTGCTGCTCACCTCCAGCTGTGTGGCCCGGTTCCCAACAGGCCACTGACTAGTACCAGGGGTTGGGGAACCCCTGCAATAATCATCACCTTGAATCCTACTCAGAAGCCTATTGAGAGCCTGTGCAGTTCATGAAATAGCAGTTTTACGTAGGTGCAACAAACTATGCCCCAATGTCTGCTGCTGCATTCTCAACTAACTAAGCTTCCAGATGGTCTTCAAAGCACCCCATGTAAAGTGTGTTACAGAGTCCAGTCATGAGGTTATTAAGATATGAATGACCATAAGAAAGTCTTCACAATCCAGGAACAGACACAACATTTTTAGAATCTGTGAGTCCAGGAAAACCTTGAGATTACATACCTAGTCTGAATGTGGCAGTGCCAACCCATCCAGGACCAAAGATGGAAACACTCCAACTCTTGGATCTGGGGGACCCAAACTCTTAGGGAAAATCCATGGTCATTTACAATGCAGGTGGCAATTTGTTGCAAATAAATGTAGTTATGAGAAAGATCAACAAGATTTTTTCATTTTATTAAACAACGAAGCAATGAGAGAATCCCTTTTTATTATTTTAGTGTCAGAAGTTATATGGTCTAGCTCCATAGAGTTTGTTACTTTAAAAATATCCACAATAAGATCCTTAGGAAGGAAGGTTAAATAGCAGACAGGAGCATTCACTGGAAAGGGTCTGTCAAAAGTCAAAAGTAGTGTGCATGATGACATGATTGAAGTCCTGCACATAAAAAGAGTCATGCCTTTGCCTGCATGGTTGTGACTGCCATCTCCATACAATCAGTATTTTATACCAGTAGTGTATATGTGTGTATATAGTGTTATATTAAGTTTTATCTGGATTAATAATATGCATCGTGTGATAATTCAATACATTTCCTCTCATTCTGTTCTGGAAGGCAGATTACTACAATGAAACTCAATGAACGTAGTGTGGTACATTATGCCACCTGTGAGTCTCCAGCTGATCATACTGGCTTTCTGTGCAAGCGTATGGAACGCCATCATCACAACCATCATATCACCTCTTACCAGCGCCGCTGGTTCATTCTCAAGGGCAACTTGCTGTTCTACTTTGAAGAGCGGGAGAGCTGTGACCCCCTGGGTCTCATTGTGTTAGAGGGCTGCACAGTGGAACTATGTGAAGCTGCTGAGGAATTTGCTTTTGCCATCCGCTTTGATAGCAGTGGTGGCAAATCTTATGTGTTGGTTGCTGACTGCCAAGTTGCCATGGAGGCTTGGGTGAAGGCACTTTCACGAGCCAGCTTTGATTATATGAGGCTAGTAGTTAAGGAACTAGAGAAACAGCTGGAAGAGGCTCAGAGGAGCTTAGCTGCTAGCCATAAATCACCAAAGAAATTGTCTTCTGGCCGCAAAAGGCATTTATCAAATCCCATGATGATATCCATCCAAGAGCATCCTGTCATCTTGGAGAATGGTTACTCCACATGGAACGATAGTTGCACTCTTGCAGAAATGGCATATTCTGATTTCAGTGGAGGATTTCTGAAGCCCCCACCTTTACCTCCTCGTCGAAAACTGACAGGCAGTGCTGTAGGTGGAGCATCGTTGGCTGGGTCTGCCTCTGCCACACAGGAAAGTCCTGTATCTCCAGAGACTACCTGCTTCTCAAAGTTGCATAATTGGTATGGTCAGGAAATTGCAGAGGTGAGAAGAGAGTGGATGGAAAGAAAGAAGACAGTAGAAATAGGAACACATTGAAGAAAATACATTTTGTGGGACTGAGAGAAATGGACATAAGGTAGGTTTCTGTGTATAGAATCATATGGCTGGAAAGGGCCTTGGTGGTCTTTTAGTCCAACCCTCTGCCCAAGGCAGAAGTCCTTATTTTACTTGCAGGTTTTATTCCTAGTTGATAAAAACTAAGAAACAGCTATTACTGCATCTTCCAGACCGGATGATTAATAAGTCTGCTTTCTATTATATATTGCCACTACACGTTATTGCCAGGAATTCTAAAAACACCATATTCCTAATTATGCACCATTCAGAATTTAAGAAGACATTTCTAAGAAACTGCTATATCAGCTTAAAAGAGTGTTCCAGACCTTTATTTCAGAAAGTCTACTTCATGCAAGAGAAGAATCCATGTATCATTTCCTCCTTTCTTCTCCATGCACAACTATTAATTGTATTTCATCTGTAGCTATTTTGATAGATGCTGGAACAATATAGTAGTGAGTTGGCCTTTCTGTTCATTAGAAAAACAGATCATACAATGTATACATTATATTTTAACTATAGGCATTTCATATATTTTAGATTTTCATGCAAATGAGGACAAAGCTGTAAAAAGTTGCTTCCATACGACCACCTCAAGAATTTATAGTCAAAATATATTTTTTATTCAGCAACGTCCCACCTCATGCACTCAAATGCAACACTGGGCAGCCTCATAAAATATAAGAACAGTATATGATTCGTAGTCATACCTTAGGCCTTTAACTGACCTTACCTGTGTTTTTTCTATCTTTTGGACAGTCCTTGAATTAAAACAGTTTGTTTAATGACCTTTCAAAGTTAAAACAACACTGAAAAAAATTGACATATGACTGTTTTTCACACAACCCCACTGCAACATCCCCATGGCCATGTGATCAAAATTCAGGCACTTGGCATCTGACTCATATTTATGACGGTTGCAGTGTCCTGGGGTCACATGATAACCTTTTGTGACTTTCTGACAAAGTCAATGGGGAAGTAAGATTCACTTAACAACTGCAATGATTCACTTAACAACTGTGGCAAGAAAGATTGTAAAATGGGACAAAACTCACTTAACTATCTCAGCAACAGAAATTTTGGGCTCAATAGTGGTCGTAAGTTGAGAACTATTTGCACTAACACAAAAGGTAGAAAAAGCAGAAGTATGGTTACCAAAGCAACACAATCTAGATAGAAAAGCCAAATAAATATCAGCAACTGCTCTCAAATTGTTAATGTAATGTGTGATCATTTAATCATCCTCAGTATCACTTCTATACAATAGTTTTCTAAGACTGGACTAAGCTATGTTTGTTTCTTTTGATACTTTGTTCTAAATTCTTAGATTATATTGCTACAGATTAATGGCAAGAAGTCATCCAAAGCAATCTTACATAATTTCAGGTGAATATGAGTTTAATTTTTTAGTGTTCAGCATTCAGAATCTATCTACCTTCTGCTGCTTTCTGATTGGGGGGGCATTCACAATTTAATGGCTTACATTTATGACTTTGAACGTAACTAATTATTGAATTAATGAAACAAGAACTATTTATAACCTTACAGATTAATACAGCATTAGTAATAGCCATCAGTTATATACTTAGTTTATATGGCATTTGCAGTAATCTAAGATTATTATTTCAGAAAGAAAATGAATTATCTTTACTGCTCAGTAAGATAAAACTAAATTGCCATGATACATATTAGTAAAATTAAGTTTGGGGAATTGTTTGAATTACATTGTGATTGATGTACACCTGGTTCCAGAAATGATTTTTCTTGCAGTATTTTTGATCACAACCAATAATACTGTTATTAGTAATAAAAAAGCATGCTAAATTTTATAATAAACCTAATAACCTCCTATAACATTCTGGTAATGTTATATTGCATGTTATTTTATATAAAAAGTGTTTTATAAATTGCATTTTACCCAAAATAGGAAAGTACAATATTATTTCATAATTATTTGTGGCTCAAACTTAATGATCATTTTTAAAATAGCATACACTTACTTTATAGTTTCCAGAAGGGAGTCTATCTTAAGCCAAGTCTACCTTGGAAACAAATTTATGAATTGCACAGATTTTCATGAATGTTTTTTATTTACACAAAAATATGAATAAATATGTAGGTTTTTAAAATTATCAGGAGAACTGTTTTTACTTTAGAGTTGAAAGATTTATCAAAGTTATAAACTTCTAAAAGAACAAAAAGAAACTAATAGTCTGTGGCCCATAAGAAGAAGAGAGGTAGAAATAGCATATACGCTGTCATGTGGCAATCTCTGATAATTTTATCTTTGCAAAGTCTTATCTTGGGAGGCCATCACATTTTCTAGTGATTCCCAAAATTGCAGTTTTATTGATACATTTTTGGTGAAATTATCAGTTTGTTTTTATCAGTTCAGCTTCCATGCCATTACCTAAGCTTGATGGTTAAATTGACTTTTTTTCAGCTCAGCCGTAGCATCAGAGGAATTGTAACAGATTTTTTTACAGTAAGAATGTTGGCGCTCTTGAAAAGGCAGTTCTTCCACTGGAAAGGAACTTCTGCCTTCGTTTGATTCTAGATACTCCCACCACCACCATCACAGAGGTTCAGTGGCTATCTAATACAGGGGTTCTCAACCTTGGCAACTTTAAGACTTGTGGACTTCAACTCCCAGAATTCCTCAGCCAGCAAAGCTGGCTGAGGAATTCTGGGAGTTGAAGTCCACAAGTCTTAAAGTTGCCAAGGTTGAGAACCCCTGATCTAATAGCTAGGATTTCACCAATCCTTTATGCAGAGGAAAAGGGCCTTGCTGGCTTCAACCTCCCATCACAATGACTACTTAAATTTAGTATGGAACACGAGGCATGTGAAGTGAGGAGCATTGGTTGAATGTCCAATTTTGGAACCATCTATTTACTGGTCAGATACAGACAGATAGCTTGCTGCAAAGTGGGCTTTGAAATTTTCTAAGGAAATTTGGGGAATGAAACAGGGTGAAAGTGCATCTTGAAGCATTAGAAGGAACGTGTGGGTTGGCTGACTTCAAAGTAGAAAACAGGTCTTTGCTTTGAGGTACAGAGTTAATTTGGATTGGATCTGGCCAGAAGCTGCAAAGAAAAAAAATTCCAGAAAAATAATTGCACCATAAATGCCAGAACTTTGCTGAGGCCTCCATTCTTAGCCCACCTCCGTCTTCCTTCCCATCACTATTATAAGAAGAGTCCAGAGCCACTTGTGTTTTTCCTACCCTGTTTAAATTTTATAGAGGACCTTGGAAGGCAGTAAGATCATTTACCAAGGCAATCAATCAGATAAAGATGACTTGAATTCATGACCGAGACATTGGTCTTTCAGCCCCCCAATTCACAGGAGCAAAGGGAAACACATTTAGGCTTACAAGATTCTGTTACTGCAATTGCTCTAATAAAAATAGTTTTAGGCCTTCACAGTGTCTATTACAGGGCTTTTCAACCAGTGGTACGGGTACCACCTGTGGTACATTGGCACCTGGCAGGTGGTACGCGACCATCCTAGAAAAGTGGTAGCGGGGGAGGGGAATGAGCTGAACCCGCGCAGCACCGCACAAGCCTGAGCGAGAGATGGCTGGAGCTGCAGGGCTGTCAGTGCTTAGCGGAAGCGCCAGGATCAGCGCCAGGCTCCAGCTGGAGCTCGGAACTGATCCTGGCGCTTCTGCTGAGCCCAGCAGAAGTGCCGATCAGCTGAAATGTTGTAGCATCTCCAGGATCTTGTGATTTACATTTAGATGCTTGGCAACTGATTCATGTTTATGACGGTCACAGTGTCCCAGGGTCATGTGAAGTGACCAAAACCAGCTGCAACCACCCAGCAGACGGGGGGAATAAAAACCAAACACCTCCCACCCTACCCCCGTTGCCAATCCTCAACAGAAATGCTCACAACAATGAAAACCTCGGACAGGAGGAAGAGCGCCGCCAGATGGGCAGGCAGGTGTCTTGCTTGGCTGTGGCTTGGGGGGCACTTTTTTTAGTGCCATTGTAACTTCGAACAGTCACTAACCAAAGTGTTGTAAGTCGAGGACTACCTGTACTTTATCACTTTTTTCCTTTTTGGGGGGGGGGGGTCAAGTTTTTGACACCTTACTAGGCGACTGGTGGAACTCGGATGTTGCCATATCCTATAAGTGGTACAATGGGTGAAAAGGTTGAAAAGCCTTGGTCTATTAGTCTGGTCTGCCTTCTGGGGTTGACATGGACTGAGAAATAAGTCAGGACAGCCCAAATTACAAGACTCCCAACGAACCACAAGAGGGCAGCAGAGATACAAAGATAAGACACAATTCCGTTACTAAACTATTCTATTTTTTATTGGCAACTTTCAATGCGGCTCCAGAAGCATTTAAACATGTCATCTGAACGGAAACTAAAAAAAAAAAAAGACTAATTCAAACTTTTCAGACACCCGCTATTTAAATAATCTCTCCTTCCGCCTATTGATATCTCGCGAGGTTTGAAAAAACACCGCCCATTCTTTCGCTAGTTCCGGTTATCAAGAAAGTGTCCGATTCCTAGGGGAGGAGCTGCCTATAGAGGAGATGGCTTCGCGGTTGTGGTCAGCGGCTGGCTCTTGGGCAAGGTTGCGTCCCGTCGAGAAGCAGAAGGCGCCCTTAGCAACCGTTTTATCCTCACGAAATATAACCGTCACTCGGACTGGCGCCATCTTGCCTAAGCCCGTCAAAGTGAGTGAGTGGGAAAGGTAGCCGTGGCTTCTAAAGGAGAAACGGGGAGGAAGCAAACTGACCAATCGCTTAGCAAGGATGGTGTAAACTGGCAGGTTGTATCAGCCAATCGCGTGTAGCTTATTTGGAAGGGCGGGTTATGTTAGCGTTCGATCGTTGCCTAGCAATAAAACAGTTGTGGGGCAGACGCGGAAATAACGCGTCGTTAAAGGGCGACAACTTTATTTCGTCTCGGAGAAGCGCTGTGGACAGTGACACCCCCCGACATTTTTTGGGGGGGAAAAGCTGAAGTCGTGCTCTCCCCCCCCCCGTTAGTCAGCATGAGAAAATAACGCTTTTAAGTTGGTTGGGCAATTATGCAGCAGGCAATTAAGTTGGTTGGGCAATTATGCAGCAGGCCGGCTTATTTCAGGGATGCCATTATCCCAGTGTTTCTCAACCTTGACAATTTTAAGGCATGTGGACTTCAACTCCCAGAATTCCACAGCCAGCATTGCTGGCTGTGGAATTCTGGGAGTTGAAGTCCACATGCCTTAAAATTGTCAAGGTTGAGAAACACTGCATTATCCTGTTGCAAGCGGTTTCCTATTCTGGCATCCCCGAAAATGCCGTAAGCCACGCCGCAGTTATTTTAAAAACTCAGCGGCAGCTTCATCTGCAATGTCTATGGAGATTCTCAGTCATCCAGGTCATGGTTGTCCCAAAGGTGCTTTTTCAAGAAAAAAAGCCTCTTGCAAAAGCACCTTTGGGCTTCACCTGACAGGTGGTTAGATTCGAGGAGGACCGATGTAGAGGGGACACGAAAGTCCCTCGTAAGTTGAAAATCAAAGAGCGAGATGGTTATGATGACTGGAATGGAAATTTGAGATCATCTAAACCAGTGTTTCTCAACCTTGACAATTTTAAGGCATGTGGACTTCAACTCCCAGAATTCCACAGCCAGCAATGCTGGCTGTGGAATTCTGGGAGTTGAAGTCCACATGCCTTAAAATTGTCAAGGTTGAGAAACACTGATCTAAACGCAGATACAGTTGTGTTCTGTGATATCTGTGTTTGTAATTTGAAACATCCTGAAGATGTATTTTATTAACTATCTTTATTATTCTAATGATGTTGGGTACTTATTCAGTCTATGGATTCTTCATAAATTCTTCATTTGAAGGTGATTTTCAAAAATGCTTGCACCTGAAAGTAACTACAATAAGACAGTAGTTAAATTTACTGAGGCAGCTGTGTGATTCTTTTTGTTCTTTCCATCAGTTCTAGTTATACTCTGGCAGCTATAAATTTGTGCATGTGTATTTGAATATGTGCCAAGAGTTATTAACCAGCTTTTCATTAATCCTTTTAGATGCCATTTGGTCTTGTCCGAGTGTTTGCCGTTGTAATTCCCTTTCTCTATGTTGGGACACAAATCAGCAAAAGTTTTGCAGCTTTGCTTGAAGAACATGATATCTTTGTACCAGAGGATGACGATGACGATGACTAATAGGTACAATTATAGCTGCCCAACCCTTCTCAGCTGCATGTATCCTCTAACTGGCATGCTGGGAGATTTGGGGAAGTGATTAAATGAATAGTTGGTCTAGGACAGGGGTGTTAAATTGCCAGCCCGCCCACCCCAGCAATGCAAAATCGCAATATGTCACAACACGTCACGTGACGCAGCGAGTTTGACACCCGTGGTGTAGGACAAAAAAAAACCTTATAGCTCCAAATAAAAAATAAATTTGAAGGAATTGAAAGAACTGAACAAAATCTATTTTTGTTCTTCCCTCATGTATTTTTGACCACATAATTTGCAGATTTAGGATGAAGAAACTGGATTATTGTTTATGGCTACACAATTGAGAATTAAAAACTTCTTGCTGCCAACTTCAAACAATTTTATATCTAATTGTGCATATATATTCTAAAGAAAATTTGCAGCTTCAAACTGGGACAGAAACCCATCCATTTATCTTTTCCATATCTTAATATCTTTTCATTATCATTGCATGAATGGTCCCTGTCCTTCTGATGCCTTCCTCTTTCTTTTTCCTGTTATCTTCTACATCCAGTTCTGCAGTAAAACTAAAGTAAGCAAATGCAAGTTATGCTTTACCTACTTTTAATTATGTCAGTAGTATTCTTTGTATAACAACTATAACATGATGGGAATTGATATTCCAAGACTTTGTACATACTTGATATTCTATTCTGTAGTAGGCTAGTATAAGTATGTTATGTTAAATACTTGCCAAAGATACATTAAATTTGATTTAATAGTATATGCGATCATGCAACAGCATTGTGTTTCTGATGTGCATATTGATATGCATATGAATCTTTTCCATTTGAGCCAATGCATTCTTTGTTTCCTAATCAGGAAACAGGTATACACCATTTTTTTCGAGCTGAAGTAACACTCCAAAAATTAATATCAGGAAAATAATTATTCCCTCATGTCATTTTAGAGCAAGTTGCACATTTTAAAAGTGTTATCCAATTGTGCACAAGTCTCTTGTCCTAAGCTTTACTAGTTCTAAATAGTGCAGAACTCGTATTCTGTAATCACAAAATAGTTCCTCAGCGTGAAAAATTTCTTGTTTTTTACAGGTCTACAATGTGGCAGTAAGAGGAACAAAGCCATAATAAAGTGTTCCGATGTCAATGTTTAATCACCGCTCCTCAGATGTCTAAAGAACATATTTTGGGGACAGCTGGACTACCCATTGTACCACGGATTGCTTTGTGCATGTGTAAAACAATGATGTTTAAATGCTATATCTATTTAAGAATACATATTTATGTCTTGATTCAACAATTGTTGCATGTTTAGAGTGTACTTTATTTCTGAATACACTGGATCCCTAATTAATAGTGAGAGGAAAAAAATATTTGATCCCCTGCTGATTTTTTTATGTTTGCCCACTGACAAAGAAATGATCAGTCTATAATTATAATAGATTTATTTTAACAGTGAGACAGAATAACAACAAAAAGATCCAGAAAAACGCATTTCAATAAAGTTATAAATTGATTTGCATTTTAATGAGTGAAATAAGTATTTGACCCCTTCGCAAAACATGACTTAGTACTTAGTGGCAAAACCTCGTTGGCAATCACAGAGGTCAGACGTTTCTTGTAGTTGGTCACCAGGTTTCCACATATCTCAGGAGGGATTTTGTCCCACTTCTCTTTGCAGATCCTCTCCAAGTCATTAAGGTTTTGAGGCCGACGTTTGGTAGCTCAAACTTTCAGCTCCCTCCACAGATATTCTATGGGATTAAGGTCTGGAGACTGGCTAGGCCACTCCAGGACCTTAATGTGCTTCCTCTTGAGCCACTCCTTTGTTGCCTTGGCTATGTGTTGGTGGGCCATTGTCATGCTGGAATACCCATCCACGACCCATTTTCAATGCCCTGGCTGAGGGAAGGAGGTTCTTACCCAGGTTTGACAGTACATGGCCCTGTCCATCATCCCTTTGATGCAGTGAAGTTGTCCTGTACCCTTAGCAGAAAAACACCCCCAAAGCATAATATTTCCACCTCTATGTTTGATGGTGGGAATGGTGTTCTTGGGGTCATAGGCAGCATTCCTCCTCCAAACATGGCGAGTTGAGTTGATGCCAAAGAGCCCAATTTTGGTCTCTTCTGACCACAACTTTTACCCAGTTCTCCTCTGAATCATTCAGATGTTAATTGGCAAACTTCAGACGGGCCTGTACGTGTGCTTTCTTGAGCAGGGGGACCTTGTGGGCGCTGCAGGATTTCAGTCCTTCACGGCGTAGTGTGTTACCAATTGTTTTCTTGGAGACTATGGTCCCAGCTGCCTTGAGATCATTGACAAGATCCTCCTGTGTAGTTCTAGACTGATTCCTCACCGTTCTCGTGATCATTGAAACTCCATGAGGTGAAATCTTGCATTGAGCCCCAGACCGAGGGAGATTGACAGTTATTGTGTTTCTTCCATTTGCAAATAATCGCACCAATTGTTGTCACCTTCTCACTAAGCTGCTTGGTGATAGTCTTGTAGCCCATTCCAGCCTTGTGTAGGTCTAGAATCTTGTCCCTGATACCCTTGGACAGCTCTTTGGTCTTGGCCATGGTGGAGAGTTTGGAATCTGATTGATTGCTTCTGTGGACAGGTGTCTTTTATATACAGGTAACCAGCTGAGATTAGGAGCACTCCCTTTCAGAGAGTGCTCCTAATCTCAGCTCATTACCTGTATAAAAGACACCTGGGAACCAGAAATCTTGCTGATAGGGGATCAAATACTTATTTCACACTCATTAAAATGAAAATCAATTTATAGCTTTTTTGAAATGCGTTTTTCTGGATTTTTTGTTGTTATTTTGTCTCTCACTGTTAAAATAAATTTACCATTAAGATTATAGACTGATCATTTCTTTGTCAGTGGGCAAACGTACAAAATCAGCAGGGGATCAAATATTTTTTTCCCTCACTGTTTGAAGAATGCCTCTGAATAGTAAATTAAGAATTAGAGATCAAGGCTCGTGTGTTTCTTTTATATATTCTCCTGCTGTCCTCATCCTTTTAGGAATATATATTTTACTGAATTGAGATGTCCTGCTGAATTAATATCCTTGGGATTGTGCTGTCCAACTATGATACTACATAAAATAGAATGTCAGCTTTCTTTCAGAAAGGAACAAAATTACAAGCCTATAGAAAAGTACCGGTACATAAAGCAACTTCTCAATCTTGTTATTTGATTCAATTGAATCAGTATAAATACTGCCACTATAAATACACATTTTTATAGAACTTTGAGAAAGTTTTAATTATAATTTTGGTGAAAGCAAACTGCTTAGACAGCTATTGTATAACTATTAGATTTTTCCAATTACCTGGGTTTTTATTTGTTATTACATATAGCTGAAATACCTTAGAAACATTATAGGATTAGGATGTATAATGGAAGTATTACGTAGGTTGCTAAATTTTGAAAAAGTGTAATAAGCAACCTCCATCTCTGCTGTCAACATTTAAGCAGTGTGAGATTTTTATTCCAGAATTTGGAATATTACTACAATTTTGCGGCAGTAAACACATGAATGTGGTGTACCCTCTAAAATAAATATTTAAAAATTCAATAGACTCCTAAGAATGTAATATTTTGAATTGCATTTGGTTCCTTTTCTCCCAAATAAAATCTTTTCTGCATATATATCCAACAGAATCTCACCATATACTAAACAGAAATTTAGTGTTACTTTTTAGATTGCAGTGTTATATATTATTTAAGACATTAATTGCAGTGGAAGTGATACAATATACTTAACTACAGTCCGTGAGGAGAAGGGCGGGATATAAATCCAAATATAATAATAATAATAATAATAAAGTAGATTTTGCAAAATGAATCCAGGATGAAATAGCACCGGTTACTCAGAATCAATATAAATAATGCATGCCTACTTGAATACTTTCTTGCTGAAGAATAGTAAGATAAAGGCATTTATTTGGAACAGAAATAGAGTCATTATTCTCTATTGATGATTTAGTTCAAGGATCATGGCCCGTGTAGAACTTGGATAGGAAATCCGTGGGTTGTGGTGTTTCTGTCTCATGAAAAAATCTCATTATATGGGTCTTTTGTTTCCACACATTGATTGTTTCTTGGAATTCCATTTTTCCCTGTATCAAGAATAAGAGAACAATTATTACTTAAATTACCAATATGCCAGATGATAGTTCCTGTCAAATCAGTTTTAGGAACAAAATTATCAAAAATTGGTAATAACTGATTTTTAAAAACAACAACAACAGGTTTTATACTCAGAAGATCGAAATGGCTAAGTAACCCATGGCCCATCTAATTTCAAAGCTTTCTTTAGGAAATCAGACATTTGCTATAAAATCTGTTAGTTCTCTAATAGGAAACAGAGGAATACCTCTTTCTTTCTTCAATGCTACCCACCCTGTGGTGCCTCTTGTAAATCTTGGGGGGAAAGCTGTCCTTTTTTTCATAGAAAAAAAACCAGTCCACTCCTGCCTAGCAAGAGATCCTTAGCTTAGTGTGAGTCTTAGTACTCTGTAGGTAGGCTCTGCACATCGTATCAACAAAAAGACTCTGGATTCATCCATGATCCCTTTATGAAAGATGCTTGGGAAGAGAAGGGATATATCTTACAAAAACTGGGAAGAAAATGTTTTGGTAGGGGGTTGGACTCGATGACCTCCAAGGTCCCTTCCAACTTTATTATTATTATTATTATTATTATTATTATTATTATTATTATTATTATTATTATTATTATTATTATTATTATTATTAAGAGGGCACTAATATGGAGGGAAAGTGGCAAAAGCCCAGAACCAAGCATGCAACCAAGGACACGGGCCAAGAAAACAGAACACTAAGTAGGAAGCAGGACATCAAGAGGAGATTCAGAGTTCGCAGAACTATAAAGGAGATAGCAATAGATATGCTAATAAAAATGTTTTTACACTAAATATAGAATATGGGAAATAAACTGAGAGAACAAGGGATCTGACCTTAGGAAGACAAATATGCAGTCATAGACAACACTGAAACATGGCAGAGTGTTGCTTATAAGTGGCCCACATCAAGTTATTCAAAGGGAATAGATCCAGTAGAAATAGTAGGGATGTTGTATTGTCCCTAATATATACAGGAAATCACTAATCAGTGTGGAAATATTGTTAAAAGCATTTGGTTAAGAGTAAAAGGAAAGAATAAGTGATACTGTTGTAGAGCCACCTGGTTAGAAGATAGAGCTCTTTCTATTTTAGATGATTACTCTTTCAAAGAGTCATGCAATGCAGGTATTCCTTACTTAACAACCATTCATTCATAACCATTTAGTTATGATAGCATTGAATGAATACACCCAGTCCCCAAAGTTACATCTGTTACACCTCTCTTGCAGTCACATGATCCAAATTTGGGCACTTGGCAGCCTACCCAGCTTCAACTTCTCCCATCCTCCTATCACACCCCCCCCCAGCATTGCCCTTTCGGCTGCTCTGTCCTCTGCCCTGTAATCCTGCTGTCCTATGCTCCACCACTCCTGCCCTTAGCTGATCTTTGCCATCTTCCTCCCACTGCTAATGGGAGGAATAACTGCTAATAACTGTCTCACTTAGCAACAGAAATTTTGGGCTCAGTTGTTGTAAATTGAAGACTACCTGTAATAAATATATACATCTATTAAAAACTACAGGCTCTAAAATTCTGATACCAAATTTAAGCTTTCACATGCAGTGGACTACCCTATCCCAGCACTTGGGGAAAGTCAGTTTTTAAGTTTTCAGAAAGCTAAGGGGGTAGAGAGCTGCCAAACTGCAGGCAGGGTGACTATAGAAAAAACATGCTTCCTATATCCCACAAGATGCCAAAGTTTAAGGGAAGGGAATAGGAGAGTGCCGCAACCCTATCTGATCTGGTAGATTGGGTAGATGTTTTTAGGGGGATGTAGTCCTGCTGATAACCTGGCCCTGTGCGATATAGAGATTTCAGTTATGATTTCAATTATCCTAATATGTAATGGGAATTTAACTCTGCCAAGTCAAATCTCCAACAAATTCTTTTCATCTCTTGATCACTTCATTTGTCAGAAGGTGGGAGAAATTAAAAGGGTTGTCTGATATCCTGGACTCAATCCTCACTAACAAGGAGAATTGGTTGAAGAAGTAAAAGTGATTGGCACATTGAGGAAAAGTGGTCATATTGTCCAGAGGAAGATAGACCTGAATGCTGACTATCAGAAGACTGAATTTTGATAAACTTTGAAGGAAAATAGGTCGGACTCAATGGCTACAAATCTTTAAAGTATTCAGGAAAGCTGGGAAATTCAGTGAAACAAGACACTGAAAGTGGAATTACAAAAATGCCCACAAGGAGAAAGGAGATAAATCTAAACAGGCCAGCATTGATAGGAGCCAGGTTTTATAAAATGCTGAACATAAAAAGAGAGACATATAGGAAATTGGAGGAGAAAATGCAAAGATGAAAGAAGGTAATCAAAGGCACCATCATGAAAGCTCAAACTTAATAAAAAAGCTTCTTATAGACTACAGAAAATGTTTCTATAGATATATTAGAAATAAAAGGAAACTGAGGAGAATGTGCGCCCATTGTGAAAAGCAAATGTTGAATTGTTAATGAGTGATGATAAGACATCTGTCTTCTCTCAGGAAGGAAATGGAGCCCTAGCTCAGGGGTAGTCAACCTTGGCTCTTTTATGACTCGTGGACTTCAACTCCCAGAATTCCTGAGCCAGCTAAGCTGGCTCAGGAATTCTGGGAATTGAAGTCCACGAGTCATAAAAGAGCCAAGGTTGACTACCCCTGCCCTAGCTGATCATATTTGTACTAGTGGGGAAGGAGGAAACTGAAGCTTGGGATACACGAAAAGAGTTAATGAAAGAAAGTTTAGCTAATTTAATTGAATGTATGACTCCAAAATGGAGTACATATAGGATACTGAAGAAAATAGTGGAGGTGATTGCAGGTAACCTTTGAGAACTTCTGATGAGGTTCCAAAAGATTGAAGGAGAGGAAATGTTATCCCTATCTCTAAAAGGGGAAGGAACTGGGAAACCTCAAAGCTGGCAACTTGACATCTGTATTGGTTAGTTAGTCTTTGACCAGATTATCAAGCAACATGTTTTTAAGCACTTGTATAGACAAGCTACAATTACTGGTCATAGGAGCCGGTATGGAATTGTCACAAATATTACCGCTAGAATAATTTTATCTTTTTAAAAGTTACTTGCTTAGTAGAACATAGGAATGCTATAAACACAGCATACCTAGACTGTATTACCAAATAGCATCCAAGAAAGAAAACTCAGACAAAAATAAGAGGTATTTTCTAATATGTTACAACTTCCCATTCTTTCTATTTTCACAGATTTGATAAAAAGAGGAAATAATTATTTTCATAACACCCCTAATCTTACATCTGCTATGGATTTAGAACTAGTATTATTTGTCTTACCTTAATAACAAGCAAATCAATAATTCTGGGGTCTGTAGCATGGGCATTTTTCATGAACAACTCTCGCACCTTATCACGCCCCTGTTTCACTGTAATCTCCAGCTGGTATGTATGCACTAGACCAGAAGCAAAATAATGATCATGAATGAAAAATAATCCTATGGACATTATCAGTTGTCAATGTTATCACCACTCCTAATAAAACTAATTTGCGCAGGTTGTTTTACTGAAAATTATGTGATATATGTGAAAAAATTAATTAATAGAAAAAATCATTTAAGCTGCAGGAAAATAAGAAAACACTATCAAATATGATTATTCTGATTTTATCATGTATAACTAGATCTTCAACTTATCAGTCACTTAAGTGATTCTCCATAAGGAAAACTCTTTCCCAACACTATGTAACCATCCCATGCCCCAATATTAAATACTATACTAGATAATGTATTGTGGAAATGCAGCCTACAGATGTTTAAAAACCCCATTTTTGTTATAGGTGTAAAGCAGTTATTTTCATTTTCTAAGCAGAAGCAAAAATTATGTATCATTTGAGGTAATGTAAAACAATACAAAATCTTAAACTATAAGGCAGAGTTTTTTATAATTGGGATTCTCAAGCAAACTGTCTTGAGGATCAGTTTGATCAAAACATGAAACTACAATTTACAATGAAATAAAAATTGGATTTTTAAAAAATAAAAATAAAAGGTACATACATTTGAAATTTGTGGCCTTCTAAATCCACATGGTAATTTTTAATTTTTCTTTCCACTCTGTGGCTATTTATGAAACTATCTGTAACAGCAACTATTTCACATGTTTTTTTCTGCAAACAAATGTCCTGTACTATATGCTAACAGGCAATTAATATTTACACATTTATTTCTGGATCATGAGAGAGTTCCAATGAGTTTCAGGCTACATTCAGAATACACTGAATGTTCAACAATGACAATGAATATAAAGATGAATGATTATGAATGAATCCTAGCAACCAAAGATGATGAGGCAAGATAATAGAAAAACAGGCCATTAATCAATAGAACAGTTTGAATTATGCACTGAATCTTTATCTCAAATGCACACAATCGTATATTTACATACATCGATAATCTTGACTGAGTAATTATCTATCAGGGATGGTGTAGTGAATCCTGCAGAAGGGAGGGGTTGGACTAAATGACCTCTTAGGTCCTTCCAACTTTATGAACCTAATCCAAGCAACTATCTCCTATTTATTTATGCGTCTAGTCATCAAGGCGATTTAGAGTAGCCATTCCATTTAAGGCATTTCCGTGAAAATATAAAAGTACCCCTTTGTGATCTTCAGACCGGAGAAGCCGTAGAGGAAAGACATAGGACAACTCCGGTTTGCGAAGCTCCTTTTCAAACTAAGTTAAACGTTTCTTGCCCCTACGACCTTGACGGCGGAGATCGCGAACGTAATCACGGCCCCTCACCAGTATTTGGGATTTCGCGGTACCAAGTTCTATATAATTCTCTCACGTGCCGTTTGGCTTCAGCCAAATCCCGACTGAAGATTGGTTTGACTACGGCTCCGACAGCTGTGCCTGCCACCTTCCCAGCCCCGGCAGCCGCCATGTTTCCCGTTCAGATAAACAAACCCCGCCCTCATCGTTTCCTTCAAAGAGTAAGAGAGTGTCTATTGGCTAACAATTATGACATTCACCTAACGAAGACTGGCGATTGGCTAATCTCTAGCTTTATGACTAGAAGAGAGGACTACCCACTTACGGATAGTGACCAATAGCGTTGAGAGAATTGAAGATGAACATTGCATAGTAAACTCAGACTTGGCTTTGCTACCCTAGGCAGGGGTAGGCAACCTCGGCTCTTTTATGACTCATGGACTTCAACTCCCAGAATTCCTGAGTCAGCATAGCTGACTCAGGAATTCTGGGAGTTGAAGTCCATGAGTCATAAAAGAGCCGAGGTTGCCTACCCCTGCCCTAGAGGTTTATGTGTGGTAGAAGCATTGTGGTATGTACAAAGAGATATGAGGGATTTATCGACTTCTTCCATTTACGCTTAGCGACTTCGGTGAGGCAACTGGTTAAACTTAGAAACCTCGAAACCTTTAAACATTTGCTTTGTGGCCCAAGCAAACAAAAAGCACAAAAAGACAAACTGCTAGCTAACATGATTTCTTCTACTCTGGTCCATATGGTTCACTTTTCAGGCACCTTGTATCAACCTTGTAAGGTAAACTAGATTGTCAGATTTTACATTAGCAGAACCTTGCAAATCTTTCTTCCCCGTTCCCTTCACAGCCCAAGGAACTAGGGAAGATCTCTTACGAGTCTCTTACACTGCCCATATTCTTGTTGAGGACTGAGTTGCCTTTTAACAAATCATTTCTTTGGCTGCCTCTCTTTACCTTGTCTCCCAAGGTCATTCCCACATACCCTCCCATCTTTGTCTACCCTTATGTCTTTGCTGGACACAAGATAGATAATTTTCTGGCAATTTTCCACTTTTGTGTATGGTGGCAAAAGCTCATTGAATAACCCAAAGCAATTGGAAAGATACTTGTTTATTCATTAGGTGAGTAAGTTACAGTGAATAATGAGTTCCTGTCAAGCTTCCCAGGTAGAACAGACAGAAAACATGACCAGATGAGCTAATTTTACTTTATTGTAGGGCTAGATTAACATAATATTCCAAGTGTACAAATCTCCTGGTGTTTCCTTTACAGACTGAGAAGCTAGATGGTGAGGGTTCTTCTGAGCCTCTTTGTTCAGCACATTATGCAGTTGCAGGCTTTGCCTTGTTTGCCAGTCTGACCTTTCCCTAGGCAACATAGCTTTACCCCATCTCTCGAGGTCTTTTTCACATATCTCCCAACCAGCAAGAGCTAAGAGCAAAAAGACTGGTCAGTGAAAAGTTAAATTTGACTTTGAATCTGGTTCCCACAATGTAATTGCCGTTATTTTATAGACAAGATTATATGTGATATCCAATGACAGAGCTTCCTAGCATCTGTTAACATAATGGTGTGTGGGAAAAAACCTTGGGAGACTAGACAAAGAGATGCTGCAAAGGGAACAGTCAGATTAAAAAAAGCAGCACAGGAAGAGGATGAGAATAGATTCTCCTTAGTTTCTCGGTCTGTAAAGGAGATGGGGGGGGGGAAGAATTTTACTTTCAGACTTGCAAGATTCTGTCAATGTAGCTTTACAACAAAGTAGATTTAATTCATCTGACTGTGATTTCTTTCTGGTTTTCCCAGCAAGACCGACATCAATCTTGCAAGTCTAAAATTTGCCCCCCACCCCCTTTTTCAGCCAATAAACTGCATTATAGGTTTTCCACTGCTTTTATTAATAAGGGGTTCCCTATGGCTGTTTTTTTAATTTTTATTATCTCTGAGAACTCATGCAAAAGTGCTACATTTATCACCTGAACAGGCTGCAGTTTCCATCTGTGGTTATGAAGCATACACAATTAATATTTAGTACTTACTATATATTAGTCAGGCAACTTAATAGGAGCTAAATCCATCGTTCAATGCCCACTTCACCCCACTTACCTTATGTTAGGGAGAAAGAAACTGATGAGGGTTTTCCAGTGTTTGGTGAGACGGAAAACGAAGTCATCCACTTGCCTCTTTAAATAAGGACAATACCAACTACTAATATTTTTATTGTGGCAGAATATAGATCAATAATAGAGACAACACATTTTTCTGCCTGTTCAACATCTATCTGTCTTTAATCTAAATAGAACCTATATATGACTTGTATGACATTTGGTATGTCTGTCATTGTACCATTATGGAATATTGTCTTTTAACAACACTTATTTATCATATCCATGGATTTGCTAATACAAGCTGATTTTAAAAAGCTAATTTACATTAAGAGTGACATTTATTGGAAGAAGCTAGTTGTGATCTGTAATCTGTTCTATTCTCTTTCACAACTCTGGAAAATACAGTAGATGCAAAATATTCCCATTGCCCTAGAAAAATAGTTGAAGGGCCTTTGCTTCAAGTTAATCTTTTAATTCATGATTGAAAGGTAATTATATAATAGTCTAAAATTGATGGGAATGGAATTTCTGCTATAGTTACCTCTCCTTTATAAAACTGGTTAATGTGAAATTCTCTTTTTCAACTTGCTGCTGTCCAAATATGTGGGACCTGGATTCCCACTTTTATTGGACAAAATGTTCTTTGGATGAGGTGGAAGAAAGGGAAGAATCAAAGGAACAGAGAAAAAAGCAGTATCAACATATCGGTAATGAAACAATTATCCATAGACAGAAAGGATAAATATTTGATGTCTCATATACATTATTTTATTTGTCTATTTTCATTGTTCTTACATAAAACATATATTCAAACAAATAAAAATTGTCTGGAGAGTAGTAATATAATAAAATTATTGGATATGACTTCTTAAAACCCAGCATTTGCAACAATAGTACAAACTACAGAGAACAATACAAGAATGAGTCAGGCAAATGGCACCTGCTTGTTGACATGCTTATATTTATGGGCTGAAGCAAATGTCTCCTTTTCAAAGAAACCATTACATCTATTGAAACTTTTAATTACAGGAAATAATGCTTGTGTCAACTTCACTGCTTTCCTTACTCCTTCCTTGCTAGTTTCATTGTAGATTTTCTGAAAATACAGAATAACAAAAAAGTTAGAAAGGAAAAATAGTCAATTGGAAAAAATGTAACAAGACAAGGGAAAGCAGGAGGAAAAGATTTAAGAAAGAAAATATAGTATCAAAGTAGTAAAGAAATCAAGAAAATCTTTGGGGTCTTCATGAATTTTAATGCATATTTTGTACAAATGTAAGGTTTCAAATGTTACTTTCAGAATCATTAAGTTTCTCTCCCACAGGACTGATGACAGAGATTATTTTTGAACACTATACATTCGCATAAAATCATTGCCTTGTAAAAAAGAATGGTCCAAAAGATATGCCATAATTAAAAAAATATGTCAAGGGTGGCTATCTGAGGGATCACTTTTACAGTCTTAGATTCACCTTTAGGTATAAGTGTTGAAAATCAATGGCAATATTTTTTAACTAGTCTGAAGCAGAGAAGGATATAGTAAGTACATTATAAGTCATAAACATTGATATCATTTATTTTAAAAAATAGGTTTGATGAAGAGGCAGAGAGGAAATAGTCTTAAACAAGTCTTGAAAATCAGGGAAAAGAAACTGGGAATTCTGTCCCATTCATACTTATTGCTTCACTTAACTTGCATAAGTTCCCTACTCTTTGGGGGCTTAGACTTAAAAAAAAAAGTATTAAATATCTCAATCTACCCCAATTTTTCTTATTACACAGTAAGGTCACATTTGTGCAGAAGTAAACATAATTTATTACTCAGAATTTGCTTTCAAATTTGTAATCTTATACTGCCATGGTAGCCAACCCTTGCCATATTTACTCAGTGCTAGGGAATTGTAGGATTCTTACTCCACTCATAAATGCATATACTACTGCTGTGTTTTTTCAACATTCTAGACAACTTCATCCAGTTAAGTAATTCTGCAACCAGGTTACCTTAAGGAGAAGCAAAATTCAACTCTTTTATGATCAACTTGCTCCTACACACTTCGCTACATTGTTCAGTTATTCAGCAAAACCTCTCAAAATCAAATTGACTGATGAATATAAAATTAACCTGTCTCTTTCCAGAAGATGCCATCTGTTGCTTGAAGACCCATTTAATCTTATTTATTCTTCAAAACATCCTTTGTGGCCCAGAGATAGGGAAAGATTGGTCTCTACAGCTATACCCAAAAAAGGACAAGCAAGGCCACAAGTTAAACCTGAGTGTGATGCAGTTGCTAAAAGGCAATGCTGTTTTGAAATGTATTAACAGAAGCATAGATCCTAAATCACAGGAAGCAGTTATGCCAGTCTTTCACTTGGATTGTCGGGGCATCACAGTTTGAAAAGGGCAAATTTCAGCAAGTTCAAAGGGGTGGTGGGTGGGGGAGTACCAAGATAGTGACAGCTCTGGAATCCAAGCCCTATGAAGAACAGAGGATCTTAATAAATTTAGTCCATGGATGAACCAACTAATACGGTGATATGTTAGCAGTCTTCAAATATATGAAGTGTTACCACATAAAAAGGGGATGAATTTCTCTGATTCCAACTGGGGAGGAACCAATGAATTAAAACTATATAAAAAAATACTCTAGAAGGAACCTCTTGACTTTATAAACTGCCAATCAATAAAACAGCATGTAATACAATGCAGTGAGTTCTTCATCATGGAGGTCTGCAACAGGAGCAGTAATTTCTCAGAGTCTTCAATGGATCCTGCACTGAGCATTACTTAGAACTGATCCATAAATGGAAAGAAAAATGTCAGTTAACAGTCAGGTTTTAGAATAGAAGAGGAACACAGATCAGATTGGTAACAGGGAAGGAGCAAGAGAACACTAGAAGGCTTATTCTTGCTTTATTGATAACAGTGTAGATTGTGAGGGTGAGGTTTGTTTTCCGAGCTTGTGGGTTCATTTCTGAACATTTCATTACTAGGCTAGGTAACATCTTCAGTGGTGTTTAGGGGATATCAGTGTCAGTGTTCTTCTGTTTACAAGGGCCTCGTGTGGTCAGCATT